GACTCTTCCACGTCCATACTTGACGTCCTCAGGGGCGCAAAGAAGTTTCTAACTTCAACTTCCTCCTTTGATTTTAATCTAGGATCCCGTGGGCTAGGTGATTGCTTTGGTTTCTTAGATTGTTCTGCTGAGGAGTTTCGCTTTCGTCTTCTTTGTTCGCGAAACTCCTCGGCTGAATCGTCTTTCCCTTCCAGCAGGAGAGACTCTCGCATCTCCCTGTGGATGGCAGCATAGAGGCGCAGCATGGCTGTAAACAGCGTCTTGCCCTCCAGGTGCTTACACAGCACTGTCCTCTCTGCCTCGGAATTAGATATCAGCTTGTTCCAAACTGCGCCGTTCCCGTTTATTGAGGGCGATGTTTGGATAAGCTGCCCAATGGTTTGCAATCCTTTCCCCAGTAACTCGATGTCTTCCTGGCAGTCAGGATTATTGATTCTCAAGTTCACATGGTTTCTGTCAAACGAAGCCACGATTGCATTCCACCGTGTTTCGCACGATGTCGGCTTCGCCATTTTGCCCGTTGCAGACGGGACGGCCACCGCCACTGATGCACTAGCCACGCAATGTGCACTGGCGGCAGAATAGCAACTTGGTGGCTGCAGACGAACACAAGATTATGGTCACCTGGGACCGCTCAACTCCTTCCGTAGAAGTCACCCGAACCAATCTCACTCCTTACTCAAAACAGACAATCTCTCACAAGGTGAAGACCTAACCGGATGCCGAATCTAACCAGTACACCACAAAAATTTTCTTTTTCTCAATCAAAAAACCAGTATGTAGCAGCAAGAAAGTGACCGAATGGAATCCGAATTATCAATTGATTTTCGAATGAATCCGCCAGCATGAACCTAACCGTCGCCAGCTTTTATCTCTGAATCAATCGCATCGAATCTAACCCATCTCGAATACTGTAGTATAATTTCAGTCTATATATACTCGTACATCAAGCAGGTAACAAAAAAAAAATATGTACATCGAATTTTACAATATATATTTAACATACTTATCTGCAGAATCTGCAATAAAATTACTGGATCGTGGATAAGTTTTGGCATAACTCATACGTATATTTTTATTTGCTGTAGTTCATTTAGGTATCAATTTAATTCCTCTATTAGGGTTTTACTCAAGTCTGTCTGGTAATTACTACATTTAAAAATAAAGAGTTAGGATAGTGCATGTGCTTCCACTAGTGCCGTGTGCGCGTGTTTCCACTAGCCGAGTTTAAATGCCTGACTGGCGCAAACGGGGCACTTTGGCCATGACGACCTTACTCATGGCTGGCACAAACAGGGCACCTTGGCACTTAAAGGTTAAAGATAAATCCAGAGTATGAACGTCTATCCATTGAGCAACCACCCCAATCTGCATCCACAAATCCAGCAATACTGTCATCCTTTGGTGAAAAAACTAAATTCTTGTCACAAGTGCCCTTTAGATACCTCAATACTCGCTTAGCATACTTGTAGTGCTCTATTGTGTAGCAATTATTACACTGGCTTAAACAGCCTACCGTGTAAAAAACATCCGGTCTTGTACTTATAGCTATATACATTAGGCAAACTTATTAAGCTTTGGAAAGGCACGTCAGGTAAATTCCCTTTATCACCTACTTCCAGTCTTAAGTTCTTTCCGTTGGCGTTTTTGCAGATCTCGCATCAGACACCTCAAACTTCTTCAATAATTGCTTAATGTAATGTTTTTGGTCTAACGAGATGGAACCAGTCTCCTCCTCATAGGAAATATTCATTCCTAAACATAATCTTTCTTTCCCTAGGTCTACCATTTCAAATTCACTCATCAAAGCTCTCTTCGCTTCCCGAGTCTTTTGTTCATCACTTGATAAAATGAAGTGATCATCACCATATAATGCAATAATAACAACGGTCTTATCTCTCCAAAAATAATACACACATGGTTTATGTTTGGATTGCTTAAACTCTAACTCTATTAATGCACCATGTATCTTTCTATTCCACATTCGTGATGCTTGTTTCAAACCATAAATTGATTTCTGTAACAGACAGACTTTTGTCTCCTCTCCTTTCACAGCAAAAGATTCAGGCTGTTTCATGAACACTACCTCATGTAATTCCCCATTTAGAAAAGCTGTCTTCACATCCATGTGATATACATTCAACTTCAATTTGACTGCCAGGCTAATCAACAGCCTAAAAGTTTCTCACTTAACTACCGGCTCGAAGGTTTCATCATAATCAATACATTCTTTCTGAGAAAAACCCCTGGCAACCAATCTAGCTTCGTAACGGTTGTTTCCACCCGCATCTTTCTTCACTTTAAAGACCCATTTACAGCTGATTATATTTGCATTGTTTGGTTTGTCTACAAACACCCATTCACTATTTTTCATCAAAAACTTGTACTCATCATCCATGGCAGTCAGCCATTTGTCTTTGTCATACCGTGAAAGAGCATCAGATACAGTTACCCGATCATCTATATTTTCCTTTCCAACAGTGTGGTACACAACATGATCAGGAAATTCCCTTGGCCGCCTATCTCTTAGTGGATACCTGCGTTCCTCCATAATGGCACCACCTTCATTTCCCTCAACATTTTCATTGCAATTTTCACGTTCAAATTCATTGTCAATTACTATTACATCGTTGTCATGGTTAGATGAATCAGAAGCATTTTTATGTACATCATCATGAACAGGTACATTATCATCTTTTCTACATGGCAAGTAGTCCAATGGTGCATTACCCTTTCCATGTTCTGTAACATTTTCGCTTGAATCTGACATTCGCTTACATGACATTTGATCTTCTACAAAAACGACATCCCTAGCCATTGTAAAATAATTTGTTTTTGGGTCAAGTAATCTGTATTCCTCTTTATTTTCACTATAGCCTATCATCATTAAGTCCTGTGACATAGCATCCCATTTCTTTCTCTTGGTCTTCGGAACAAATGCCGTGGTGGCAGGGGGCGTGGAGGTAACCCACCGGTGCTACCACTTATTATGCCGTGATAACAGGAGGCGTGTAGGTAGCTCTCAACTGCCACCACATCTTATGCTGCAAGGGGTTAACACAATAATACCAGATTACCCTCAGCGAGGATTCTCCTGGGTCTGAAACTTCTTCGTTGCATATAGTTGCCACCCTCTATTATATTGTGACATGTTGCGAAATCCGAGCCCCCCCCACACCAGCAGTGACGCGGCGGGTGAGTCAGCGCTCCCCTCCCACCCCTCAGCGGTATCTGAGCGCTCGCGTAATACGCGAGTAATCACCCCGCAATGCGCAACGCGCGGTGACGTCACGAGCGGAGCCGAAGAGAGCCGAGCGGAGCCGAAGATAGCCGAGCCCCGTAACCTGGCAACTACGCAATGCTAATCAACAGCGGTGACGTCACACTAGCAACAGCGTCCTAGGCTATACGCCACGTCACACTAGCAACAGCGCAAGGCTATATAAGTGGACTCCACAGCCGCTACCAGTTCAGTTGAAACATAGCAGCCTGCGAGTGTGCGATAACTAAGAAGTCAGCGAGCGGAAGACTTATTGTGTGCTTTCCAGACATAGTGATTGCTGTAGTACAGTTATACTCGGAGTGTGTATTTCAGGGAGACCTGTATAGCTCCCGCGTTATCAGTACGTGAAGACAAGTGAAGATTGTGTTAAGAGATTTTGTTGTAGGGTTTGTAAAGTGTGGAAACCCGTAATATTGTGATCATTAATTATAGCCGTTATTTGTAGATTGTTAAATAAACTCAATTAACCATCTCTACGGCGTCTTCAGTAACGTAAACGCGTTACAATATCTTATGAGGTTTGCTGAAGATACTAAGGGCCTGTAGCGCGGTAGTCGGGCGTTCTTTGTTGGCTGGCCCTTTCATCACTGTTAGCACTTCGTATTGGCGTAGAGCGGGCGTGTCGGGTCTGACCCGCCTCTACACATTGACTGTCACACCATATACTACACCTCTACGACAGGGGTTGATTGGATATCTCACCGCTATCACCAATTATTATGTCTTGGTGCCGGGGGTGGGATACAACACACTAACTCGCTTGGTCTGCCATTTCTCTTTGGCTAGTCCCTTCTCTACGTCAGTGAACCCTTCGTTGACTCGGCCCAGCGCCGTTGCCATAAGTAATACTTCTATGTAAGGGGTGAGTAAAACACAGTTACTCTTTCTCTACGTCAGCCCCTTTGCGTTGGCCGATCCCCACCTCTACCATCACTTTGTTATGCCTGAAGGGGCTAATGAAATATCTAAATTACTCTTCCCTTATTCCCTCTCGGGACGCCAACTCTCTGTCTCCTATTAGCCTCTCACCCTTAACTTGCATTCTCATAACCCTTACTGCTTGTTGCATCCGGCTGCCGTTGGCCGCCTGTGTCAGTTCAACCGTTCGCTTGGGACTGGGAAATGGAGGAGTTTGTGAGGGTGAATCATACTCTGGGTACATCCTAACTTAAGTACATTGTCTATTTACACTCTTATTTACAATCCTATTTAGAGTATGAACAAAGCCGAATTTCAGTCGAGACTACATAGTGTCTTCTCCTTTCTAGGCAATCACTTCATTATAATCTCCCCTTCTGGGGTGCAGGACTTGAGTCTGTTTGTCTCTTTCTCTCTACTGTTTTGACTCATTTCGCATTTCTCCACTATTCTATCATAAGACTTCACCTTTAAATTATTCTGCCCCCAAAGTTACACATACTGAAAGACTACATATATTTATCACAAAAATCAGTAGTCATAACACACTATTTAACGTCTACCATATTTACTACACTAGCAACCTTGCCTGTTACTTGTTACATGATTTCTATTATTCTACCCTAAGGGCTAGCTGGGCACCCTGGACATTGCTTTCACATTTAACAAACAACACTTTACCAACAACCACAAAGTTTAACAGAATGGCTAGTATGAGCAAACATGACTTACTTGAAATAGAGACGCAGCGACACCACCACTTGTAGTACCCATGTCGGACAGAGCCTCTGGCTAATTGTTACGTTTTTAGATCGAACCCTAAGTCTCATTAATTTAGCAATTTATACCATTAACTTGCTGACTCTGCGGTTGGCGAAAGAGGGAGGTTAACTACTCCCTTTGTTCTAAATTTCGGGGTGGGGGTTTTTCATTGGCTATTCCTTTTGGTGGTGGGCGGGGTCCGCAGTGCCGTCGCGGTGTATTTGTTAATTGCATCTTACACTAGTGGCCTCACAAAGCGGTTTTGTTTCTGCTTGTATTATTACGTATCGGTGCTGACTCCAACATTCTTGACCTCGATCGCCGGTCCAGGTGTCGCCGTTCTAGCTCGATTGCTGTAAAACGCTTTTCGCAAGTCTCGAAACATTTAGGCAATGTTTTTTGATTTTCAGTCTCGAAATTGCGGCACAACAACGACCATTCTGTTGAAAATTATAGGGTACAATTAGTTCATGTTTGATACCATAACTAGTTAACAATCCCTTCAGCTCAACATTAACATACCCTTGTCCATTATCAGCCCTCAAGATTTGTAACCTTTTTTCTGTTTTATTCTCTGCAAATGTTTTGAAATCTTTGAACTTGGACACTACATCAGATTTATGTTTCAGATAGTACACAAAGATTTTTCTGCTACAATCATCCACAAAAGTAAGGATATGTTTCATACCACTTACCGAAGACACTTCCATTGGACCCATAAGATCTGATTGTACAAGTTCAAGTAAATCTGTAGCCCTATTCTGACTAAGTTTAAATGGTTTCTTACATAGTTTTCCCTGAGCACAG